AAAGGAGCGGGGCGGGGGGCTAGTACTCTTGTATCTATCGCGGCTCACAGCACCAGGTGATCACTGTGCACTCACTGACTGGCCTCTACAACACCTTGGACAAAAAAAAAAAAAAAAAAAAAAAAAAAGGGTTTTGGAGGCTAGTATTCTTTGAATCTCTATCAGGGTTTGAGTTCATGGTCTGTATTTTTTGGTTGTCGCCCGCCGCTGGGGCTAAGTCCCACTAGCCTCTTCACCCGAGTAGAACGACGCGTCATTATAGCTGTTGTATTTATTTGGGGCGGCTTTCAGATCATACGCGGCCATAATCAGGGGGCGTTTTATTCAGGTGAAGACGGGTAGTGAGAAGGTGCTAATAGAACCTTAAATTTGCAGGGGGTTTTCAGGGTCGTTATAACAAACATCCCACACCTGCCAGACATGTGACCAGAGTGGACACCAAATAAACAAACAGAGGAAGGAAACAAAAAGTGAAAAAATGGATTAAAGGGGCCTAAAACTCCCAAGGCAAAAGTGTGTTTTCATGCAAAATTCGCTCTTTGAAGTCTTTTCAGGATTTTCAAGGTTTTTCAGGATTTTCAGGATTTCCAGGATTTTCAGGATTTTCAGGGCTGGCCAAAACAGTCATCTCCAAGACCCCAGCAAACACCAAATTTGGCCCAAAATTTTCAGGATTTTCAGGGGGGGGGCCTAAAACCAACGCAGTCCTTGACCAAAAATACAACAGGGTAAAAAAAGAAATGAAAAACTGAGAAAAATTATCCCCAAAATTAATGCTCTTTTCAGTGCTGGGGGGTTTTAACCTGGAGCTGAAATGTGGGGGTCCCTGTTAACCATTTGTGAGTGGGAGTTTATACTTTTTTTCTTTTTTTTTTAGCACAACAACCCCCTCCAGTGCTAGTGGTGCTGATAAGAGCAGACATGGATATCACCTAGGGGGAGCAGAAAGGGAGTAGACACGGCCAAGGGCACTAGTGGTGTCTGCTCTTATCAGCACCACTAGCACCGAAGGGGGCGTTTAAAAACAAAAAAAACAAAAAAAAAAACAAAAAAGGGCACATTAGGGCCGACTCAAAGCGTGACATATCCAAAAGAGGCTATGTCACGGACTCAAAGCGTGACATTTCCAAAAGAGCCACGCCGGAGCAGAGGAGTAGGGGACAGGAAGGATAAGAGCAGGGAGGAGAAAAAGCACAGAAGTAGCGCAAAATGTAGCGCAAAATGAAGAGCTTCGTTAAGATAAATAAAAAAGTGCTGAAGCAATAAGGAGAATGCTCCCGAGATGCTTCGGCTGTGTTGCCGGCACAGCCATCATCAGTGGAGATTTGCGCTAGGGGAAGGCTTAGACTTGGTTTCAAGAATGTACCATTTCCCTCCGTCCGATCTGAACATCTCACGGCCACACTTTGACCACCACGTCGAAACATACTTGGGAAAAAAAGAATGAAAAAGGATGACTAGACCCCCAACATCTCACGGCTTTCATGCAATGGTTGGACGATTTAAGTGGGGGGGGGGGAAACAACAACCCATCTCACGGCTGCACTGTGACGAGGTTGACAGACGCTCGAAAGGATGACTACCCCCCCTTTCGGGGCCATTGGGGGTTAGCCCCTAGACTATCGAACTGTCGTGGGGATAGGTCTTGGCAGTGGATTTTTTGGGTCTATCTTTTTGCACAAAACATCCCAGAGTTGATCCGTTCCCTGGGCCCAACAGTCTTCTTCCTCGGAATACAGCGTACGGTCAATGTAGCTGAATTTGGGGTATCTTTCAGTCTAAATAGTAAATACACAGCTATAATGATCTCATGTTGTATTTGGGGGAAGAAGGTAGGCCCATTAACAAAGAGGATGTGGATTCATGTATGTCTTTTGCTCAGAGTTGCAGGAATGCAGGGCAGCAGATCAATTGCAAGTGTCTGCATCTTTACACAATCAAGTCCAGATATACAGGAATTAAATCCAATCCTCTCTTTGCTAATGGGAACAGGCCCCTGGGCGGTGCTTGATACCCCTGATACCCCTGCTGTCTTCCCCCGAGTACAATATACAGCCATGATAGCTGTGTCTAGAAGATACCCCAAAAGTATACAGCTGTAATGACCGGATGTTGTATTCGGGAGAAGAAGGTAGGTAGAGAGTGCCCAGTCCATTCATGGGGAGCAACTCTGCCACACCATCTCAAGCTGGCCCAGGCCAAGGGTGTGAGCTACACGTGCGTGGTATGCCTAGTGATAGGTCATGCCTGAAAGCAGCTCGCGAAAGTCGAAGAACGGCTTCGATGAAGCAGAAGGTAAGGTTAGGATAACGGACCCAAACAAACATTTATCCAATACACATGGGGATAACATTGCAGCATGGATGACTCTGACTGGGTCAGCGGATTGACTGTCAGTCAGTGTCTTTGGTAAACTTTAAGGTGGGAGGGGGGAAAGCCCTCCTCCTCAGCCCTCTGAAGGGCCACCACCTGCAAAGTTTTTTTTTTTTTGTTTTGTTTTGTTTTTGTTTCAGTTGCAAAGGTTAGTACTCAAGCTAA